TTGAATTTGTTTTCTTAAAGTAGTAGTTTTATGAACGGGGAAAATTTAGTCAAAAATTCTTCTTGCATATGATCCCAAATAGAGGTCATATGTGGCTTCAACAAATTTAGTCAAGTCTTTGCTTTATCTTTAAGTGAGAAAGGAAAAAAGTTTCATTCTAGCCATATCTTTTCATACATTCTGTTCTAGGAATGTACTAACTACTTTCTCGAATTCCTTGAGATAGAGATAGCAATTTTCACTTGCCATTCCATAGAATTGAGGGAGCAATTGGAGCATCCCTAGTTTAACAATGAATTGGTGTGTTTGCACCAAAAGTACAATGCATGATTGCAAGGAAGAGTGGGTCGATTGAAGATAACCCTTCATAGTCTAACTAGGTGGAACTATAACTGGATTATTTTCACCATTTCCCCTTGTTGGTATAATAATGGGTGGATCAATGTCATTGTTGTTATTCTGGATAGTCATACCTACAACTAGTGGTAAATTCTTTCTACATCTAACAAGTCGGTCTACTTGGTCTCTACTCCACATGCAAATCTACTAAATCTAATAATTAAAATTGCAAAAAAGCAAGAAATAAATTACAACAGAGATCCACACCTGAGCTCATGATCAAAATCAAAACCTACCTAAATACCTCTGTATTGCCTTAGATTATCGTTAGCTTCCCTAGCAACAATGCAAAAATACTTGTCCTCCAAATGGGTTGTATTTTCATGGAAGCTCCCAAGCATAAGAGAAAAGTATCATGTAGTAACTCACATAAAAATTCCAAGGTCATCTCCTTAGGGAAAGAATTGGAATCTAAGGTGATGAAAAATAAAAGAAAAAAACTCTTTGAAGTTGAGAATTTTGAGATTTAACTACTAAGAAATTTGAAATTCAATAAATGGAAAACTGGATAATCTTCAAAATTTGTCCCACTACAAATAAGAGTTTCTACCCTAAACTATAACTCATCTACTTTCGTATTCAAACTACTAAAGTCGGAAGATTTTCAACTAAAAACTTTGAGAGTATTAATGTGGCAATTAAAAGAAGGTTTATGGGGGAAGAATTAGTACTCTAAAGGTCACTGGAAACACAATTAATTATCTATACCAAAACTAATTGTATACAGATAATCGAGACAAATGCAAACCAATTAGGTTTTCGGAAGCATAACTTATTCAATCAATCACATAAACGTTAAAACCCTAGTTTAGAGCATACACCCTAGGTCATAGGTTGGAACTCCTTCCTCTGATTATACAAATGAAGACTTCTCACCCATGATGATGGAAATAACACAAAGCATTAAAGAAAACATAATTGAATTCAAAAAGGTAAAGATTGAATTGAAATTGATCGCTTGTATTGAAAAATTGAATGTAAATAACAAGACTTTTAAAGTAAAAACAACTGAATGTAAGTATTGTTTGAACAAATAAAAGAACTAAACTATAAAGAAGAATAATGCAAAACTCTGTAAAGTAACCCTAAAAATCTCTAACGTAAAGAACAAGAAAAACTAAGAGAAAAACTTCTAAACATATCCTACAACATGATGCCCTGTCTTTTTCAAAGGGTCTCTATTTATTCTGATTGGAACAAGATATCTTCCCCAAAATTATTTCCTCTTCCTATTGGTTGAGAATCCCCAAAAGATATGGCAGGATCTGATCTTTAATTAAGTTTTCTGTGAAAATCAGTCTCGACCTACTGGTAGAACATTCGTCTATGACCCAATCTACCGATACAACAATAAAACCTATCATTAGAACCTCTGTTTGATAACTTTTGAAAGTACTATTACTTTTGCTACTGGTAAAACTTCTCTAACAAAAGTACTATAATTTTTTTTACCGGTAGAATTTTTCTGATGAAAAAGTGCAAAGTGCAAAGTACTATGAATTTTGCTACTGGTAGAACTTTTGCATAAATCTTCGGTGACTCAAACTACCGGTAGCAAGTCAACCTTCATTCTTCTGTCTTCCTACTAGTATAACACCTATTGGTAGAACATCTCTTTTCTTCCATAATACTTCTAAGACTCCCGACTTCATCTTCTCCCAAGCAAACTCAATCCCAACTTGTCCCTTACCATTTTATTAATGCTTAAACTAAACTTTTACACTCAATTTATATGTAATCACATAAATTAAGGCTTAACACACAAACTATACTAAGTAAAGCAAATTAATACATTAGCAAACCTAAAGTAAATATGTTAAATTATAAAATAATGCAAGACATAAGGAATTAATGTGGTTCGACATACTCTCCCTGCGTCCATGGACCTAACGACATATAGGCTACATCTGATGAATTATTGATGATAATTGGTTAAATATGGTCCAGCTTTATTTATAGGGTGAGAATTACATAACATAAAAGATAAATCACATATATATCATCATCTCTACTTAACCAAACAAATCTAGGTATCAATAGATCTCTTTAGATCCTATCGTATCTATATCTGGATATTTATGGATTCTTTCTGATCCTATCATATTTTTAGTACTCCCCTCAAGTTGATACAATGAAATCCCTTGAAAATGTCCAACTTGAACTGAAAATGGGGTGGTTGCTTAACAAACGGATGATGCAGCTTTGGTGATAAAACTTCCCTAAACATTAGATTGGGGTGAATGCACATGGAATAACCACCTGTAAATTTATTTTATTCTTTTTTTGCTGTATTTCTTTTCGCCAAACTCTTTTTACTTTTTTCTTTTTTTTCTCCTCTTTCCTCTCTGCTTCTTGAGTCTGCATTTCTTCTATCTTCTAGTTTTTTTTTTCCCCAAAACTTGAGCGAACAAGGAACACATTTTGGTTTCTTTGTTCCTATTTTTTTTCATTCACGGCTTAGTTGATGGATTTGATGAAAGGCCCGCATGGTGCTTGAATAGCTATGGGTACTGCTGAAATACCAAGAGTTTGAGAAATAATTCGGACCCAAAGTTGAATAGGAATGAGGAGGAGTCATTAGTTCTAGTCATGGCCAAACCGGAAGCGATCCTCTTTGATGACAATGAAGAACTCCTTGCTCGTGAAAATAGATTGATCAATTGCCACCACCAACAAAGTTGGATGAATTCAATTTTGATCAGCTTTGTGGCAGACAATTGACCCCTTGAAGTCTTGAAAACACAATGGGCATAACCACGGCAATGTGAAAGCATATAAAAATAAGCTCTAATCGTTCCGCTCTGATACCATATAGAAGTTTATAATAAGAGAGATATGGAAGATAATAAAATAAAAGAAAATGAGACATAAGGAATTAACATGGTTGGGCTAACTATGCCTACGTCCATAGACCTAATGCCCTGTGGGCTACATATGATTATTATTGAAGGTCATTGATTACATGGAACTCAACCCTATTTATAGGGTAAGAATTACAAAAGATATAAGATAAATTATAAGTCAATTATCATCTTTACTTATCCAAACAAACTTAGATATTAATAGATCTTTTTGGATCCTATCATATCTCTACCTGAATATTGATGGATTCTTTCTAATACTATCAATTTCCTTCACACTTTGTACCATGATTAGTAGTTACTACAAACAAAAAATTGAAAATGTCGTGGTACAATTCCTCATAAATTCAAAAATTACACCTATCATTATCTTATATAAAAAAAAGGTGGCATATTGCACAAGGCTCTGATGATCAAATATATGCAACCTTACAATGAATGTAGAGAATTTGTTTATACGGTATAAACCCTCAGGCCACAATGGAACAACCCTTACCACTATATATTATATACTTACATTTTGAAATTTTGTTACCCTTTATAGATTGTTCTATCTTCAAAGGCACTTCATTAATTATCTTGTATCTTCATAACACACCATATTGATGTGGGTTATTGATGGATATACCAACAATATCTATTTTACCCTAGTTACACCTAAGACTATATAACATTTATTTCATTGTATATCTTTTCTCTGAACTTATCTAGGTTTTCATATAGTATTTGACATTTTTAGTGGTGGTTCTTCATGGAAAGGGAAGATATAACCCAGAAGGTGAATTTAGATATTTTTCATTGTCCTTAAAGTTATGACAATCGACAAAAGGTATGATTAAAGTTTCTCCTCCTATTTATAATTCCTTTTGTATAAACGTAAAAACACTCTTTCTGTTGATGCCATCAACAACCCATTTTGAGAAAAATAATTAAATCTATATATGAGTCTATCCAAGATGGTTAACCAGACCTCCGTGGAGGTCACCGGGTCGAATCTCCTATCTAGAAGTTGTATAATTGGTATATTTTATTGACGTAATGATGTGGTAATAATATAGTCCAATAGTATTGTTGACTTCTTGTGATAGTAATCATTGGACTTTTTCATTGGGACTCTACTACTTGACACATCGTGTCAGCAAATTATGTCAATTTTTTAAATTCAAACATTAATCTTAACTTAGAGTCAAGTCATCTTGTAGTTCATATGGTCTTGTTTATTAAAGCAATAAAGTCATATTGAAGCATAATTTCCAACTTGCTCAATTGTTTAGGCAGCCAAGCATAGAATTACACTGATTAACAAGTTAGACATGCTAACCATAGAGGACATATTAAAATCATGTACTTTATTGTTTCTATTTTGTTTTGCTACTCATACCGGAAGAAAGTGAGATTCATATTCCAATTCTTATTCACAACATCCAACAGAGTGAAGATCAAGCCTCATCGACATACTTCTTTACTGGGTTTGGGTGGCACGTATCAACATGTCGTGAGCGTTGTTGAACATCTTTTTTAAGAATAATATCATTTTACTTACCAAAAAAAATTATTTATTTAGGACGAAAATACATATGCAAGTTACCACATAGTTCGTCATTGAACAATTTCTATGAAAAAGAAGCTCAATAACTACTTACACCTTGTGCCCGCGTTATTTTCATTTACTAATCAAGAAAAACCGCTACTCATAACCGCAATAGTATTGTATTAGAGCTGGATCTTATGTATTGCATTCTAAACCCATATCGCACTGGCGTCTATGAGCCGCTGTTTCAGCTCTCCCCAAACATTGAGGCTGGTGACCTCCTTAGCACCACCAACCAATTCCTTCCCCATAAACACTGCGGGTACGCTCGGGTTACATCCTAATGTCAGCAGTGCCTTCTCCATTTGCTGTCCATTATGAAATCCATCGAGCTCATAAATTGTAGGGTTCGCCCCAAAGTTGCGTAGCAGTGTCTCGACGTAGCCTGTCATGCAACAAAAGCTTTTACTGAAGATCACCACGGGCTAGGTCGCAGCCAACCTCTTCACTTCATCCATTCCCACAACAGAAAAATATGAAGATGACAACGAAATGATGAGTTTATGACGAGTTAGTTCAAATGATCAATTGTCGAATCCAAATAACGTGTAACTCGAATCGGGTTGTATTAGGATCTTGATGAGGTAGATAAGATGTGTACGAAGCTTGGCTGTGAGAAACATGGTCTGCCATGGAGACTATATATACTAGCCTAAAGGTGGTGCTTGTCACTGTTTGTCTGGTTAACAGATGGGGAAAATGGCTGAAGGAATGTTCCAAATTTTATTGTGGATTTCAAAGTTATTCTTGATCATTTGACGACAAAGACTTTCTCTGTCTCACTCTACAGAGATTAACATGCAAAATGTGATCTTGTAAGGATAGAATATTCTCAAAATGACATCATAGACCTTAGGTAATATGATGATGACAACCATGCATGAGTACTAATCCTTCACACGATACATGCATATCTCAGAAGATCGCCATTAATCTCTTGACATAACCTTAAGTGACACGATTTATTCACACGAATAATAAATAGGTTAAGTTCGTGTTAAATACAAATATTTTGATTGAGTCGATATTGCTATGTAATTGATGTCATATAAAACAAATTGATTCATTTACACTATGTTTGGTATATGGTATTAGGTCTTAGGAATGAAACGGACATTCCATATGAACGCCTATTCTAATGTTTGGTTTGTAGGATTTAAAATCAATTCTCATTCCAAAGGAATACCTAATCCCAAAATTTGTAGGATTAAGCATTTCCAAATCCAACATGGTATTCTCCATTCCCAAGCCACTCAGTAATACCCAATCCATCTGGAAAAAAAAAACCAAACGCTCAAATCACACACACAACTATTTTGCTCTCTCTCTCTCTCTCTCTTGCACACCCTCATCAAATTTGTGTGTGTGTCTCTCTCTCTCTCTGAGATATGAGACTCCATCTCTGTAGAGGTCAGCTGCAATCAATCTCGGAGCTTCACTCTCAATGAAACAAGGATAAGATTTGTTACAAAGAACAATTAGGACGATCTCAGATCTAACACAATTTCAGGTAATGTTTAGATCTAACCTAGAATTGTAGAATTTGCAATTTTCGACGAAAAAATTTGCTTTATGAGTAATTTTTACCTAACCTAGGTCCAAATTTCTATAGCAATGTTTTTCAAATTTGTTAACTGGATAGGACACCATGGGTTTGTACAATGGCTGCCTTTTGATAGCTGAAGTAAAAAGCCGGTTTGATCCCAATACTAGAAGAACAGACCCATATTGGTTTTCAAAAGTTGTCAGTGAACTTGGTTTTACCACTGTATCAATGGTTGATTAAGGCTCCGTTTTGTTATCCGTGCTAAATGGTACTATTCTTCGGAGTATGATTTCTCAAACAAGTCACTTTGATGGGTGAATGGTTACTTTTTTTATTGTTGTTCTTTAGTTGGGTATATATACGATTCATCCCTCTGAGCACCCTCAATGAAGGGAAATCTAACTGGGTAATGAACTTTTGTTTAGCCACTTATGTTATTTACGTGATTTTGTGATTATTCGTACCAATTCTAGTTGAGCTGTTCATATATTCCATTATAAATATATATTTGAATCTGGAAGGCAATGCTGAAACTTTGATATTTTGGAATATTTGGAGGCGGTGGTGCTGCTTTGTAGGGGTGTGGTGGGTGGGTGGGTGGGTAGAGAGAATCTAACACACATTTGAATAAGGACAAGAGAAAAAATCTTCACAAAGTACCAGTTTTAAATTATTTGTTTAGTAATCATGATAAAGCTTACAGTTTTTAGTTTTTTTTTAGTCTTTGGGAAGTCCAATTTATCAGCCTAAACAATGCTTTTGTTATCCAGTTATTCATGGAATATCTGTGTTGTATTTTTGTGGCTAAGTAGATTTGGCAGTTGTCTGGGCCATACACAACACCTTTTAACCTGCTGATTTGGGATGTCACAACTATGGAAAACATAGTAAAATGATTTCAGTAGCGAATGATGTACAAGCAAAGGTGCTGCAATGAAATTTAATGACATATGTTCTTGTGTTTGACTAGCCACTGAGTACTTATTTGTATTTTGGGATTGCTTGTTTTTGCATTAGAATTATGTACAACTCTTTTTATCAACTCTGTTTATTAGCACTTTAATTTGATTTTGTATTGACCTTGTTTCAATAAGAATAGTTTGGAAAAATGGCATCCTCAAGTCAAGTGGAGTTACGAGGTCCGGGTAAGAATAAGAGGAAGTGGATTGCTGATGAAGGTGCTAAATTGATTGAGATCCTTTTGGAACTAGTTAACTCCGAAACACATCGAGCTGATAATGGGTTTAAAGCAGGATATTTGAATGTCATTGAGCAATCCTTGCTAGAGAAGTTGTCGGGCAAAGACATTAAGGCCAAACCACATATTGAGTCATGAATCAAGGTTTTAAAGGGGGGTTTTTGCATTTTTCATGACATGCTAATAGGATTCATACAAGTGGGTTTGGATTTGATCACGAAAAAAATGTTTGACAGTAAGCTCTGATGTGTGATAGGGTTACTTAGGTATCTATCAAACTTACCTCTTCATTTATCATTTCGAGTTATTGCATAGCTTAGATCTGATCCTGTTTAGCTACTTGTAGCATAGCTTAGATGAATTCAGGTACTGCAAGTATTAACTTGGAATTGATTCACATAGATACTGTGGGCAGCTGCAGGATGAACAATTTGTGACTAATTCTTAGACATTAGGTTAACTCTCCATGGTCTATTGCACTTTTAAGATCTGGTTATAAAACAATGCATGATATCATAGGTCATAAAAACAAAAGGAGTTAGTCCCATTAATTTGATCACACAAGTTTCTTGAATTATATTACATATTTCCCAAGGCATGTATAAATAAACAGTAATGTTACACTAAATTTTAGGATCAAATTTGGAGCCCAAATGACATGACAGTTGACTTGAGTTTCATTATTTAGAGTCATGTCATTTGGGCCTAATTAAAACTCTAAATAATATGATGTCATGTCATTTGGGTTTAAAATTTGGTCAGCATAACATTACTGATAAATAAATTCAAATTTGATCTATGAACAGAAATCTACTTTCATATCACAGTGGACTCCCAACAGAAATTAAAACTAGTATTGGATCTTGTAGTATGAATGAACAAGCATGTTTTTTAGGAAAAACTCAATGATGAAGTAGAACCCAACAACTCATTTATGCATAACAGGGAGTTCTTTAATTTGCAACCTGGTTTACTGTTAATTGCAAAGGACATAATCATCTATTTCTATTTTTTCTACTTATATTGATTTTGATGTTCGTTGTGGAGTTTAACATAACTTTGCTATGATTGATTACTTATTTAACACAATTGTTTCTTGTGTTTGACATATTTTTGAATATTGTATTTGTTTGTATTGTAAAGCCGCAAGGGAGCAGAAAGGTTTAGGGATAGATCTTTTCCCTTTTATGAGGACTTGTGCATTATATTTGGAAAGGACCGGACGACTGGTAGAGAGGCACATGGCCGGTTGATGTGGTGGAGGAGTTAGCGAGAGACGAAGGAAACATTGAACATGAGCTATTCTTACATGCATCAAATGACATGAATATATTCATGTCATCTATGCGGCGACCATCTGTGCCCGAGGAGGTTGGGAGCGTGAGGCAAAAGAAAAAAAGTAGGGGTATGGAGGAGATGGTAGTTGAAGGATTAATGAGTGTTGCTTTTCTCATTAGTAAAGAGATTAAGGAGGTAACAACTATTTTTTTCTCGTGCAATTGGTGTTGACACCGCAGTACGTGACATGAAGAAGAAGATTTACGAAGACTTACTAATGTTTCCCGATTTTTCCATGAGTGAGAAGCTCAAAGTATCGAGTGTTTCAGTTCATGACTCTGATTATACTGACTTATTTTTTAGTCTTCCTGAGGTCGAGAGGCAGAATTAGTGAGAGGGATATTGAGCGGAGATTTTTGAGCTATATTTGTTTGAACGATAAACCTAGTCCATGCATGATAAATGAACATTTTTTTTGGAATTTTTTTTTTTTTGTCTATGAAACACTTGTGTTATTCTTATTTGTAATTTTCATGAAAAAGGTTTTATGGTTAATGATTATAATTTACTGTATTTGTCAAATTTTGAAAAGTAGGTGTATTTTTATACGGTTGTCCACATTAAAGAATTATGGTAGAAGGAATAGACATGCATTTTGCAAGTTGATCATAGTCATTGTGTGTTGAATGAGTACCATTCATGAAGGATTATGTAGGATATTGATGAAAGTATCACATTTCTACTATTTTTTATTTGTTGTTTATATTTTTTTAGTGAATTTTTTCATTATTTGATTCTTTGTGACTTGATTTACAACACATTTAATCTAACTAGTCAAGTTTTAAAATTAACAAAAGTATTCATTTTAAGGAAGTATGCAAAAAGTTAGAAATTCTATGATTAAAAAATTATTATGGTTAAATTTCATTTCATTCCAATAGAAATTATTTTATCCAACCTTTGGAATGGAATGAGTATTCCATTCCAAGACTTTATCCCAATTAATTTCCAAACATTGAAATGGTAATACACATTTCATTTCATTCCCAAGCTTATTTCATTCCAATCCTAAGTTTATTTCATTCTCATGTCAATTCCATTCATACTTAAAGGCATTACTGCGTACCAAACACATCGAATTGTTTTTATGTTTCTTAATCTTATATGTATGAGTTGCTATCAAATTAGAGCTTTTTCAAGATGAGTTGAATTTTAGCTTATAAAGGACCGGTGAGTGGTGTGGTAAGATTGGAATAGAATGAGCTACAAAGTGAAAGACCCACAACAATACAGAACACCCTGAATAATTGACCCATTTGCCAAATAGAGTCTCGCAAAATCTCTCCTCGTTACCTTCAATAACATCGGAAAACAACTTAAAAATTTTATTATGATAGTCCCAAATTGGTTGTCCGCTGATTCCATGGCTATTGAGAACGAATGTTAATAAATTTTTTTAGGATCGTCCCTCATTGGTTCTATTTCTCAATCTTTCTAACTTGCTCCTATGAGACTAAGGTTGAAAAGATTGAAAAAATCAATCATTTTCACAGCCATTGATAAAAGATTACTCCAAAAGGCTCTTGTGTCTTTTGTAAATAGCCAAATGTT